AAAAAGAAAGAAAATAAAGGAAAAGAAAGAGAACGAAAAGGAAAAAGGAGGAAGAAAAGGGGATCTTGGCGWTTTCAACCGAAACATAAGGAAGAGGAAGAAATTGATGGTGATTGTGAGCCGGATTGAAGAACCAACCTTAGAAGTGGTAATTAAAGTTGTTTTTATTTAAAGGTTTGGGAAGAAATAGGGGTTGAAGAGAAATAGTTTATGGGTTTGTTGTTTTGCCTAAGAAATCTCTTGAAATAGGTGTTGAACTTGGATTTTTGGTTTACGTGAATATGCGTATCGATGAGTTAGCTTCAATTTATGCGTTTTGGTCACAAATCTGGTTTGGTATAGTTTGCAGAAGCTAAAAAAAAGAAATGGAGGGGAAGAAGTCATGGTACGGTGGTTTTGGGTTAAGGAACAAGATGATGAATAGTAGAGGAGAGAGAGAGTGGTTTTTAAATTAAATTAAAAAAAGGAAAAAAAAAGAAGAAAATGTTGGAAAAATTGGGTTATTTGCGTGAAATGGAGTGGGGGAAAGAGAAATTTAATGGGTTTGTTGGGACCCACTTGTAAGAAGAAAAAGTAGTGAGTTTTCAATGAACAGAGACAATGGGAAATTTGGGTAATTGTGTTATTTTGAAGTTATTGTGATTAAAGTTTGAAATTAGTTTATGTTGGAATTAAGTGGATATTTCAGGTCATGTGGAAATCGGAACAGCATACGACTCCCTTAAAGGATTTGTGAGTGGTTCTTTTATTAAACGTTTTTGGATATTATTATTGGAATTTGTGAGTGGTTTATTTTGGAAATGTTTTTAGAAGTATATCATGATAGAATTTCAAGAAAGTACATATATTATGTATGATTTAGCATTTTTGCTGAGAATTGAAGAAAATGTGTTAGAAAGAATTATTTTAGAAATGTTTATTAGAATTGAGAAATGCTTTATGATTTAGAGAAATGTTCGAGAAAGTTATGAAATGTTATTTAGAAAGAGATTTCAGAAAATAATATTAGAATTTCATGAAATGTTTTTTAGAAAGAAAGGTTTTAGAAATGATTTGAGAAAGAAAGAAATGTTCCTAGAAAGAAGAAAGAAAGAATTTTAGAACGGTTTAGGAGATTGAGAAAGAAGTTTTCAAACCATCATGTTATTGTATCCAGGTGATTACCCGTATGCTATATGAATGTATTTCTATAGTATACCCAGAAATAGAAGGTCTTTGGGACCATTTCACTCCACGTGTTGGAGAATTATTCTGCTGTGTATATTGAGATTACTCTATGTCAGTAGACCAGAAATAGAATTATTCTGCTGTACGTATTGAGATTACTCTATGCTAGTAGACCAGAATAAAATTGGATACATATGTGGTGTTGAGTTTTCTGAACCTATTTATTGGTTGAAAGAAAATGTTTTATATGATATTAGAAAGTGTTTTCCTAGCTCTATTTAATGTTTCAGGAGAACGATTTACAAATTTATTAGAGAATGCGTGCTGTTACACATTTATTATGAGAAAGTCTTTATGAGTTTTAGTTTCTCAAGTTTTATGAGATTTAATGAGAATATTTCTTAGAACGGTTTTATAAGGCTTGTTTTGCAGAATTTCGAAACTTCAGTTGTTTATGAAAGAAGTTTTACAATATTTTTTTTTTTATTAAGTTACCACTCATTGAGCTTTTCAACTCCCTTTTTACCCTTTGTTTTCCCCCCAGGTTGTATTTGAGTTTAAAAGAGAGAATGGACAAACTTCTACCACCCAGAGTCGTTAAGAAATTGCATATCATTTGTAGTTACATCATGAATAGTGTATCTAGAAGAAATTGAAGAATAGAAGTAATGTTAAAAGTTAGTGTAAAAGTCTAGAAGATTTTCAACTATAGACTCTGCACCTAGTGGAGTCTATGGTCGGCGCGGTCCGTTCTTGAACTAGTAGCTGTTCTGGGACGAGTCGTGTCACTCGGGTTGCACGACCAACTCCGGTTTGCTTCATTTTCTGGTACTCTTACAGCAATTCCTTGCCACAAACGACACAGACTTACTGACTCTATTTACAAAATTGAATGTCCAAAACAACGAGTCCTTACATTGATCAAATCAATTGAAAAACTTTAAAATAGACTAGTGTTTATTTGGCTTGAACCTAATTTTAGGATATTCTGACGGTTGGAATCAGTACTTAGATCGGTGAATAAGATATTTATTACCTCTCTTAGAGTTACAACTTCAATTTCTCACCTCTACAATTTTTTGAACTAAAAGAAACACTAGTCTAATAAGATATTATTACAAGAGACTATATAGTATCAATATTCATGGGGTTCCGTCTCAAAATCAATTGGCAATGAGAGGAGTAACTCATGTCTATTATAAACATTTGTTAGCTCCCTTGTCTTTTTAATGTGGGATCCTTAACATGACCTCTGAATATCTAGCTCTTTTTACTCATTTTTGGAGGACCAGATGCTCGTTTAAGGTTGTTGGGCTCTAATACCATATCAATATTCATCGTTCCATATCAAAACCAATTGACAATAAGAAAGCAGTCTGTGTCTATTATACATCTTTGTTAAGTCTATTATCTTTTCAACGCAGGATTCTTAAGACATAGCACCCAATTAAAAAAAAAATCACTGAACATACATCTCAACACTCTCCCTACCATAATCTTTTTCCTAATTCTATTATTTTCTTCTAATTTGATGTATTTATTTTAGTACAATCATAAATATTTCGATAAAATTACTAAAATTAGTGAAGACGTGTTGTGGCAAATCAATACACAAATTAAATTGAAGCTTCACAAAATAGTTTCAATAGCTAATAAAATCTTGAATATGGAGATTATCCTTTGTCCATCAAGCAATGAGATCAAGGCCTTTTTTAAAGAGCAATGATATATGATGACCAGAGTGATTTTTTTTTTTTTTTTAAACCTGGTGAAACAAAAAACGAATAGTGTGTTGTAACATTATTATTTTAATGGATGATTCTTTATTTTTTCTTTTCTAAAAATTAAATTTGATTATCAACAAGAATAGCCCAATATATATATATGCTCATGTAACAAGGGTTAAAGATTTCTCGAATGACGTCAAATTTTTTTACTCAAAAAGAGTCATAAACGATGAATCGCTGTTATTATAAATTTTACAAATACAAAGTCAATTAAATTGTGTTGGTTGCAACAAGTTCGAACCATTGACTTTAGGTATCTTGGAGACAATTTGACTCTCCATTGGCACAAATACAAGAGTTAGGAACAATTTTTGAAGAATTGAAGCTTTCAATTTGTAAGCAAAGGTTTTTTCCATCTTGAGTGAATGTGGCCAAATGAAGCTTAGAGTTTGAAATGGCTCTCCAAGCACTTTGTTGACTCAAACAATCATTTGAAAGAGATACTCCGACACCTTCCCCACTGGCCTTTAAGCATAAACCAGTAGTCGTCATCTTAATTGGAGTACCATCACCACCATGATTCCATCGACTTGAAGTCGAGCAATTGCTCAAAAACATTCCTTTATTGTCATTAGAGCTTATGACACATTGGCCACTTTGTGGATGATACATAACATACGAGGATGATGCATTATAATTTGGATTTGTACCATTAAAAAAGTATATATTTAGTTTCACAAATTGTAATTTACTCTCACAAACTGTAGTTTAACTAGTTAGCATTGTTTTCGAACATTGTTTTCATAATAGTTTACTTGTTAGGGATATATATATTTGAACTTGTTAATATACCATTACCTTGCAACATGGTCGGCAATAGTTGAAACTTCTTTGCAAAGTTAGGGTTTTTAAATTGAGTCCAATTAGAGTCAAGAACTCCAAAAGTTTCTGCAGGTTCTGCTTGACCTTCCCTATAATAGTAGCTGCCTTACCAAGCCCACAATGCCCAATCCAAGTCTTTTCGTGCAAGATGAGCTTTGAAGCAACTCATGAATCAATTTTCTGCATCGTTAACCTCCCTTTGATCATACCCGTATTCACTAACGAATAAAGAAAATGGGTTTGGCCCTTCAATCACAAACTCAGCATGGTCTACGAAGCCATTCATGATATTTGCACATATATTGCTCAGTGGTTGTTGTACAAATTTGCTCTCAAAATCTCCACTAAAGGAATACAAGTGCACTTCGAAAACCAACTTGTTGTCTAATGTCTCTACGGTCAAGGGCTTCGGCTTCTCCTTTAAGCATCGAAGATCGTTGTCATAATCTAGGCCTGAAACAATCACCAAAACTGTTGGATTTATGTTGTGGATTGTTGTTACTCCTTGAGTTACATAATTGTTCCAATCATTCGCGTTTTCCATTGTTCCTCGTATCTCGTTCTGTAGGCTCATTGCTAGCACCTAAATAGCATAAAAAATATTGGTTTTGCTATTAGAATATTATAGTTTCTAATCTTTAAAATTCTTGGATTTAGTTTCGAGAATTTGAGAAAATATTTTAATATTACATACTGTTGATTTGTTGAGAAATCGCCGAGCAACTAATCGAAGACCTTGTAACCACTCTTGAGGGTCAAAACTGCTATCTCCAAAGAAGTCATTCCCGTCATCAAGAGAGCAACACCATCTCGATTGGCTAATGTGGTTGTCAGCAATCACCATTAAACCACTTGCCCCAAGCATGTCAACAACTGCTTCATACGCTTTCAACAATGGTCTTGTTAAGCACAAAAGGGTTATATTGAGCCAATCCAGATTTTGTTTGTTTCAAATCAAGCAGGTCAAAGTTCTCTTCAATCGTCCTATTTGCGAAGTGAACATGTGGGTTGCATATGTGAGACGCTGACAATTGAACCTCAACTTGATTGCTTCATCTGCTAGTTCTTTCAATATGGCCTATGGTTGAGGCCTTCTGCCAGCATGCTCTGTGTGTGGGAAGGCTAATTCATGCACACAAGCTTCACTCGACGCCCTGTTTTTGAATCAATGATCCATCTTCCTCGTGTTGAAAGAGGAAGAGAAAAAGCTAAAAGTGATGAAGACACAAAGACTAGCACTAGAACGAAAATAATTACTTGCAAAGTTCTTCCCATTTTTGTTTTATCTTTTTTGTAAATATGATATCCTCTTTTTCATTTGTGTTGGAAGAAGGATATCTCAAACATTCCTTATATATAGTTCAAATTTTTTCAAAGTTTGTTGTAACTTCTAAAACTTATTTTTTGTTTTTTTCTAAATTGAGAAAGTTTAATTAATTAATAAATTGTGTTTTTCCATCTTCAACCATAGATAAAACTTCTAGCCTAGAAAGCAAATGTTGAATCCGTCTTACAAAGAAAAAAGAAAAATCAAAGAAAAACAAAAAATGTACTTAATTTAGCTTTGGATTAGAAAAGCTTTTTGTTTCTTTGAATTGAATATATCTAACATGAACCTTGCTTGGAATAGGAGACAAACAATATATAGTACATACACTTCTAAAATAAACATATACGCATACCCATATTATTATTAATATAGCTAAAGTAAACATAGCTCAATGATAATTTACATATATTTCCAACCAAGAAGTTGTGAGTTGGATCCCCATCCCCACATATTCTACTAAAAAAATAATATTATTAATATATAATAATAAATTATGTGATGTTTTTTTTTTTCTTTTCTTTGCTGATTTATGAAAATTTTGAAATTATATGTTATGGATAAAAAAGTGGGCATTTATATATGTAAACTAATAACTATTTATAAAATTAGCAACTGCATTTCAATTTTTCAAAATAGCAAAATTAAGAGGTTGAGCCTTTAACAATAAAAAAATAAAACTAAACTAATTAGGTATTATTTTATAGAGATGGAAATATAAATGCAAAAAATATCATTGAGGTATTAAATATACGCTTTGGTGAAAATTGAGACAATAATTCAAAGGTAAATATCCCAGAAGCAAATAAAAATATTAAGACTAAGTGCAAATGCATTGAGGTAGTTAGTCATATATACACATTGGTAAAAAATAGATTAAAATTGAGAACAAAATCGGTCAAGAAGAATCCAAAAAAATTAATTTAATACTAAAGTTGGTTTAAAAATTAATTTAACAACAATAAAATCAAATCATTTTTTAAAATAATCGAAATTTAAGATATTCCTAAAATTGATTAAATCATTCAATTTGAAATGAAATCTACTATAAATCACTTATTACATATAAACTTATTTGGGTTATTGCATTGGGTGGCAAATAAGTTTTAGGTATTTAATAATATAGCACCCACTTATCAAAATTTCAAATATAGCAATTTTTATAGGATTCTGATTTTGAATTAAGTATTCCCAAATTGCCCTCATCATATTTATCACACTCTTTCGTTCTCTCTCGCTCAGATCATCGTCTTCTTCGTTCGTCTCTTCTTCGTGCTTCTTCGTTCTCTCTCGGATCATCTTCTTCTTCGCGCATCTTCGTTCTCTCTCGGATCATCGTCTTCTTCGTTCGTCTCTTCTTCGCTTGTCTTTGTTCGTTCATCAGGTATCAATTTTATCTTCTTCATTCGTATTCATTCGTTCATCAGGTATCGATTTTAGCTTCTTACTTCGTCTTCGTTTGTTCATCAGGTTTCCATTTTAGCTCTTTTGATTTTATTTCTTCTTTTTCTTCGATTTTGTTCGTGAAGAACTTTCAACCTTTGAGGAACTTCTGTCCGTTTTAATAAGGCAGATTTCTAAAAGAAGAATTTGGACTTCTTGGGGGACTATTATAATTATATTTAGTTTTTGTTGTTGTTCTTCTTCGATTTTGTTCGTTTCTGAGGTCTTGATTTTAGTTTTTCTTCTTCTTCTTTCGAATTTAAGCTTGATTTTAGTTTTTGGTGTCTGATTTTGGGTGAAGGATCACCATTAAGATTGTGGAGAACCTGCCTGAATTTTAGGTGAGGTATATCACCTAAATCAGTGAGGTATATCATACCGATATACTTCCATTGAGTATGAAGTATATCAGTGAGGTATATCATAGATATTTTACGTATATCTATAACTGATATACTCAATATAGATATTAAATATAGGGTATGTCTGCGGCTTATGTTATGTTATTTGTTGATTGATATACTAATATCATCAATATTTTATATTTTGCAGTGTTTGTAGTTATGGGCAAGCTTGCAATAATTGTTTTTCACAGTGGTGAATGGGATGATAGTCATTGCTATATGAATTACAAAACTATTGGGATTTTGGTTGACGAAGATATGAATTTTCAAAATTTTAGGAATTTGATATTGAATGAAGTGAAGTTAGATCCATCAATTTGTTTTGTCCAATYTTCAGTTTTATTAAAGTTTGGTAGTAATGRAGTTCAAACTGTTGTTGAGATTAATGAAGATAAADATGYTGCTTGGTTTTTTACTTTGGTTAAGGATGACAGCACAAGATATCCTTTAGTTGCTCATGTAAATGCTATGCCTTTGGAGGAGTCTAGTGTTATTAATTCTGGAAGTGAGAATTTAGGTATGGTTGTTRCTTCTTCTKCTATAATTGAAAGAGATTTTCAAGTTTATAACGATGTTRATATTACTAGTATGTCTTCTGCATTTTATCTGAAGGAGAARGATCTATTTKCAAATAARGAAGTTTTGTCAAAAGCTTTTCACTTTATGRCTATAAAGAATAGCTTTCAGTTCAARACTTTGAGATCAAATTTCAAATTAGTTGAGTTTGAATGTGTTCAGAATGGCTGCCAATGGTATGTTAGAGCATCTCGTTATACAGGTAGTGAACTATGGATGATTAGAAAGTATGTTMGTGATCATAATTGTCGTAYGACGATARTTCAATCTTCTCATAGACAAGCTTCATCATCTTTTATTGGTGAATGTATGGTTGAGAAATTTAGATTTAGTTCTTCTGATCGTTCGACTCCGAAAGATATCATTCATCATATGCGCACAAACTATGGAGTTGGTGTTAGTTATTATAAAGCTTGGAGGGCAAAAACAGCTGTTAATAAATTGTTGACAGGAGATGCTGATGATTCTTATGCATTTGATTCCGAAGTTTTTTGTGAAGTTGAAAGAAATGAATCCAGGTTTGTTTTCTTTAATGATATACCAATAATATATGCTTCTGATATATGTATAATATGTATGGGATGATATATCTTCTTGATTTTATTATGATGTAGGTGTTCTGATATATTGTTGATATACTACTGATATATATTTGATTATACTACTGATTATCATATCTGATTTTGATATCTTGACATGTTGCTGTGATATATTACTAATATATTTGACGTATTGATGTGATATATTATTGATATATTTGATGTGTAATGATATTTTACGCTGATACAATAGTTCTATTTATATTATTTTTGTAGGTACATACACTACATATGAAATTGATAAGACTAGACATTTTAAGTATTGTTTCATGGCTCTAGGTGCATCTATTGAAGGTTGGAGGTATTGTAGACCTAATATATCTGTTGATGGGACATTTTTGAYGAGCAAATATGGTGGTACATTATTGAYTGCCTCAACGTGCRATGGTAACAATCAGATTTTYCCTCTTGYTTTTGGTATAGTAGATTCAGAAAATGATGCATCATGGAGATGGTTTTTTCAAAATTTAAAGAACAGTTTTGGAGATCGAGAAGGGTTAGTTATCATTTCTAATCGTCATTTAAGCATTGGAAGAAGTGTTCTAAAGGTTTTTCCATATGCTCAATATTGTGTTTGTAAGCGACATCTGTTAAAGAATTTGAAGTTGTCATACAAGGACTCCTTGATTGATAGACTTTTTGAAAACTGTGTCAAATCCTACACAACTAATGATTTTGAGTTAAATATGAGGTTGATGGAATCAATATATCCTACTATACGAGAATATCTTAGTAATGTTGGATTTGAGAAATGGGCTCGTGCACACACTAAAGAAAGAAGATATCAAATGTCGACAACTAATATTTCTGAGAGCCTAAATGCAACTTTGAAAGAGTCAAGAGATTTACCTGTTGCATCACTACTTGATTCAGTTAGACAATTACTTC